AGTCTCGACCTTCTTCTGACTTTCCTAACTTTATTCTAGCAACTTCAAGAAATAATTTAGATTGCATCGAGTTTGAGATTCCATGAATGAATGTTTATAGCTATACGAGATTAATAAATTGATGTATAGGTACAGATTATGCTTATCTTATATTTATCTTATCGATTCAATTTATACACTTTGCTAATTCTTTCAAAATATTTAATTGAGATACTTTTTTGAATCCGAATGAAACAAGCCGACATTTTGCTCTGACTGCAAAATAGTAGCATTTGTTAAACAGAAAATACGTATTCTACACCATGACTTCATTTATCTCAACTAAAACTGAACTACAAGTATAATATATTTTTTAATGACTTAAGATCGACCAAACTGGCCAATTCTTCTGCATTAAAGTAAGTAAATAAGTAAGTAAAGTGAGTCAGGAAAGAAGGTGTGATGGCGTTTCTGAAAAAAGCGTAAAGCAAAATGGAGTTCGTAATTTATTTTATCTCAGTTCCTCAATTTTTTTTTAAATATAAGAAATGAAGTATAACTACAATTGAATGCCACTAATAATTCATTTAATTAGGTTGACGAATCAGGTTTGATAGAATCATGAAATAAATTGTTGCTTTATTAAATTATCATTTACTTCACTATTAAAATAAAGTGTTGGCTTATGAAATTGGCTGTAATTATCACTGATAAGTTAAATGAGTGTGATCATTTTTGAAGTCAAGATTATTCAACCATTTATCTGTTGTTCAATAAACTTCTAATTAAGAAATCATGTATTGAAATCGCTAACAATATTTCATTAAAAATCACTTTCCATCACGTCAATATTATCGCACTGCAGCCGATAATGAAAAAACACTATTTCGAGGATACTATGTTTTTATTGCTTCAGTATAAATCAGTGCCAAAAATTTCGATATGGTCTATCGAATAAAAACCAACAAATTCAAAAGTCAAAATCAAATCGCAAACTTTCGAAAATCGGTCAAGAAGTTAAAATTCAAATAATTTTGACTGAACTAATAACAATCTTAAATAAAATGCATTTAACATTGACATAAATCAAGGAATACAGCTAAGTAGCACTAAAAAACATGTTTAAATTTGCTTACAAAGTTGTTTCTTAGTTATCAGATAATTCGTTGAATGAATATTTTCAAACATTGAGAAGAAATTTCACTGCTGTTTTATAGTTTGTTGAAAAATAATTCTTTTGATGACCCATTTGTCGTATTGTAAAAAAAATTAGCAAATAATCTATTGAATTTAGAGAAAAAAATCTAATTACTTCTATGCAATCAAATTGCAAATTTCTTACTTTCAAAAAAGTAAATAACTTTTAAACATAAGTAATTTTAAGATGATTGATAATTTTTGCTAATTTGTTTACAACCATAAAAACTGTCTCCAAGTTCAGTACTCGATAGAATAGATGTCTGACAACAACCCTAATCTCATCATGTTTTTTGTCGATACAGTGCTTTCGAAACTTCTAGAAGAAAATAACTGTCATTAAATTAAAACAAGCTAATTTACCAACAATTTATCATTAGAAACTGATCGATTTTTAGACTGGTAAATTTTTTAAAAATTCTTTAAAATAAATATTTAACAATCAAAATTAGTACAAATCAATTTAGAAGCATTTCTGTTCCACTATTTTTAAATTTCTCAAAATTGTATTAAGATTTTCAATGCAATGTGCAAATATTTTCTTCTAATTGCGTAAGGTCAACATTTATTTATTGAATAAAATATTAAAAATAAAAAGTACTTCCAGACTACAAATAATTTTAAATAAGTAAAAAGTTTCACTTTTAAATTTGAAAGAAAACTTTACAAAAGTCCAAAATTATAAAAGTATTAAGTAATCAAAGAAGTTATAAATAATAACTTTTTGTGTCGATACTTGTTGTCGATGCTTTTGATGAGTGACTTGTTGCTGCACTTCTCGAAATCTCTGCTGATGATATTGCTCTTCAGGATAATGCTGAGGATAACTTCCAGAAGCTTTACTAATAAAATCAAAATCAGTTACTGGATGAAATATATGATAGTGTTCAGAAGGAGCAAGCCTTCGCTCATTCGGTATATGTAACAAATATACTTCCACACGTGCTTTGCTCTCTACCTGAAAATATGATTACGAAATAGCAATGCTTAGTACGAAATAATAATACTCTTTCAAATCAAAACAACTTGATCTATTATGAAATTAAATCATTATATCTTGTAAATATTTTTTGTTAAAAAAAATTATTATAAATAATTATAAAGTGATACGAGTGCTTTTTGTTTTTTCTTCAGAGAATAATTTAAAATTTGAATTGAATTTTTTTTTTTGCACAAAATTAAACTGTTTGCATTTAGAACTTGAAATTTTTGTACAAAAATTAATATTTAATATAAAACTATAATTTATAATAAGTATTGTAGTAATTCATTCTATAAATCATAGTTTTATATTGAGTATTAGTTTTTGTACGAAAATTTCAAGTTTTAAATTCTTGTATTCAAAATAACAAAACGATATTTTGATTAAATAACTAATACGTAAACTAATTAGTAATGAATATGGAAGGCTTTGAGCTTATAGCCATTAAAGTACAAGAATTTAAATTTAAAAATAATAAAATCGCAGAAAATGATGAAATAACTCGTAAAAATAAGAAATCAATTACTATAATACTTATTACAAATGATAGTTTTATATATTAATGGCACAAATATTGTCTTATAGTATAAAGGAAAGTTACGATTTGCAGCAACAACACACATCACTGAATGATTATGCAAATAACAAGTAATGCAATCATTTGCCTTTAATTATTGTAATGTCGTTTACTTAACATTAATTATTGTACGTCATGCCATACTTTTATTGAGTAAACTATAATTTTTGATTATATTGTACTACTGTACAATATAACTTGTGGGACAACAAAAGTATGACTTTAGGTGAAATTTAACTAATAGCGAAATGACAATCTGATCTACAATAATAATTGGGATTTAGTGAAAATAAGTATAATTTACTATTCATTACTTATTTTATGCTCCTAAAAGTCATTTTGTCTTGAAGTTATTCTATTTTATAATTAGATAACAGTTGCAGAATCTGAAATTATTTCAAAAATTAGCAATTATGAAATTGCAGTGAACAAAGTATTAAAATACAGTTTTGCACAAAAAAATATTCAAATAATAACAATCTTAGTAAATTAGATTATTGATTACCTTAAAAGCAATATCTGAAGCACTACTGTAATAAGAGATTCTTTTATCTGAGGATTGATACTTTCCTTCTCAATATATTTATAACTCATGCATTTTACCACGAAAATAGTTATTAACTCCAAGCATTACAAATAATATAAAACATAAAAGAGTGAGGGAATTACTTTCATCGAAATTAGTATCTAAAATTGAATAATATTCAAAAATGTGAGCACTTATTGAAAATCAACTGAAAAATTTGAAAACCTAGTGTAAATGAATCAGAAACTGATCAAATTATCAGTGTAAACTAATTCAGGAAGCGTTTAATTCATTTTTGTGAAAGAATGCAGTTAACTGGAAATTATAATGAATCCAAAAAATGAGAAATAATCCTTTAAAAAATTTGAATAATAGATTAAACAGAGGTTCCACGTGAGATCTGTATAAAGAAAGCTCAAGAAACCAAGTAGAAATTATCTTAGTAAAAATTAGAACATGATGGCACTACTGATGCGTAATTAAAATTTCGATCACTGCTTCAAGAAACTTCGAATTCTAAACGAGCGGAGTTCTAAGTCAGTTCTGATGAGTTTGATCTAGACTGATTTTAGACAAATTCAGAAAGTAATAAGTAAGTTGAGTTTGTCGTGCTAGACGTTTTATTCAAACTGACGAGATTGAAGCAAAAATATCCAACTATAAATGAATGCTAGTAGAGGTGTTTACTTTTGACAACTATAGTAACAGAAGCCAATGTGGAAGCTTTCCATCATCTTGCAGACGTATTTTGTGCAAGTCTCTACTTCAAACACGTAGGTGTATATTTGCTAATGTATTTATTTACTTGTGATCAAATATTGTTAGTATTTTGATCGATTGTAAAAGCTGAAAGTCTTTGAGCAAATAAATTTTCGTTCATACTTTGTATACAGTCAAAAAATAAAATTATACAACAAAAACTGCTAAAAAATTATTAGCAAACTTTTACTTTCGACTTAGTTACACTTTTTAACTTGACCTTTCTTCGACTTAATTACACTTCTTAACTTGACCTTTCTTCGACCTTTCTTTTTTTGCTTCAATACTGCTTATTGCATTTTTTTACTTCATATGTCAAAATTTTTTTCTTGATATTTTTAATATTATAAATGTATGAATTTACTTTTCTTGCATACATTTGCTGCAATAATTCTGAGCAAAAGTGTAATTGATCTTATTAACATTCACCTCTAACAAATGTTATTTACTCGTAAGTGCTCTCGATTCTTCATGCTTTTCTAGATTCATCTCTTGCAAACTTTTTTTTTTCAAAATCTGCAGCAATCTCAGATATGAAAAGACTGAATAGAATTCATTCATAGCAAGACTTATCTCAGCATAAAATGCATAAAAACTTATTATAAATTTGAGTCAAAAGTCAGATAACTTATATTGTATTGCAGTTTTTGAACTCTTATCACATCCTTGTGAACAGCTGCGTGAACAACTTCATCTACGCTTATCACTTCTCATTAATTCAGAGGAAAAAAGCGCAAAACAGAATTACTTTGATACTTTCTCTATTTTTCAGCACAAATTCTTCCAATACAAAGCGTATTTGTACACTTTTTAGAATTTCAACTTACGTGATACTAACAGCATCGTTGAGAGTAAAAAAGATTGACAGACTCAAAAGTTTCATCTGCATTTGTTTTGCTATTTTCAATGAAATTTAGATTAAGTATTAAACTAGAAGTGCAGGCTAAAAATAAATAAACTTGAAGCTGTGCTAATTAAAAAGTCATATAATTGCTGATCTAAACTTTTTTAAATTTTCAAAAATTCAAATTGTTGCAGTTATAAAATTAAAAAAAAAATAAACTGAAAAAGATTAGAAAAAAATACTGTCTGCCAACAAATACTTAAACTTTAATTAGCTCTTAGCTTTGCTTCAAAGTATCGTTTCAAAGCAATGCTTCGAAGCTAATTAGCTTTTTCAAATTCAAATAATTTAAAGTAATAACTTCAAATTGCAAACTTTTTTTCTTGCATTTTACTGCAGACAAATGCATTCATTCTTCTTTGAACAAAAAGTATGCAATGCATTACAAAAAACTCTCTTAGAATTTCTCGTGACTATACGAAAAATTAATTTCAAGATTACACTGTGAAAAACTGAAAAATACTTTAGTTTAGCTTAAGCTAAGCTAAAGCATTTTTTATAGTATAAAAAGTTTGAGCTTACTTTAATTTATAACTATGTTTTGTTTAGATTCAAAAAGTTTAAAAAATAGAAAATGAATGAGCAATCTAGTTTACTAGACTAATGTTTGGTCTACACTTTTATATAGATACATTAATTCTTGCTTATTTTCAAGTAACAATTAAGTTAATATTGCAAAACAGTACATAAATAATCGAAAATTTATGGAATGAATTATTAGTCTATTTTAAATTTGTATTTGTGTTTTGAATTTCAAAGTTTTATATGTGATTTTTTTTGTTTCTAAGTGTTTTAAAATGTAAAATAAGCGTAATATAAATCAAATGGTATTAGTAAAGTGTTTTATTTAACTAAGAACTTAAAACTCATGAAAAATCAAATTGAATTAGATTTTTTAATCAAATCAAATCAAGTATAATATTATAGTTTGTTTTCAGGCTGCTAAAAGTACTAAAAATTGACAATAACTAAAAATCCAGACAGTTTCAAGTCAACACAGATATATTAATTATTAATTAAGACTAAGCAGTTAAGTAAGACTAAAATAGCGTGATGTTTTTTTAATTCAAATATTCAAAATTTTATCTTGTTTAGTAGTTTTCATGAACTTATTATAAACTCAGGTATTTCAAATTAAGCTTTAAAAAATATTGTTTCTCCAACAAAATGTCTCGAAACTAACTTTCAAATCATTACCAAAGTTCAACTTTCATTCAAATCTATTACAAGTCCAATTAGGAGAGTAAATTCAGAAGAAAAATTGCAGATGATAGAAACAAAAATTTTACTAGAAATGTTGATTATATTGAGAATATACGAGCTTATCAAGTATTGAATAGTCTGCTGATTTGTGCTGATCTCATTTTGGATCTTAAAATCAAATATCAGAAAGTTTTTTTTGTCATTTCAAAAGCAATCAAAATTTTTACATAGTTATGTGATACCTTTCCGTAATAATTTTCAGCAATGAGAGCATACTCGCCACTGTCTTCTGCCACAACTGATGTTATCTTGATCATTGCCAAAGATCCTTTGAACAAAGCTGTGATTCCCTTCGAATTGATCAAATCAATCACTTCTCCATTCTTGAGCCAAGTTATCTGCAGAAGCAATGTTCCAAAATAGTTCAACTTTGATATGGAAGTATCAGTTCTTAATATTTACCAATCAAATATTCAAAATTAAAATTGCAAACTAAAATGAATTAAACCATTAATATGAAAGAATTTGAAAAATCAAAAGAATTTTTCTTTAGCCTTAAAAAACTTCAATCAAATAGTAACCAAATTAAATTAATTAGGTAAAAAAATAGCTGCAAGAAATTTAAATAATTTACAAATTTCGGTTTAAAGCTTCTGAATCAAAAATATCAAAATTATAACATATCAAAATTAAATGATAAATACTGAAAATATCTGAGTAATGAGAACTGAAATTTTGACTTACAACAAGTGATAAAGCAGAAATTAGTTTTATTTCCTGGAAACAAATATCGTTATCTCAGCAAAAATGCTTAGAAAATAGAAAAATTTCTGATACAATTTTTATTTAGTCTCAAAACATCAACCTTAGGTTTAGGATTTCCTGTTATGGTGCACTGTAAAATTGCATCGGTGCCTTCAGTCAATCGTAGGTCATTCAAAGGGGCTTGTATTCGAGGTGGCCCCCCAATACCGCGGGAATTGATAGATGCAAGTTCGGCTTCTGTTTCGCTTTCGCTTAAGGCCCATGGCTGAAATTTGAGAATGAACTATGCAAGTTAAATATTAAAAATGATAATATGTGAAATATTTTGATGGAAATTCAATATCCATTTATTAATTACACTTTGTGTCAATATAATTTGTGAGCAACAATCATGTCATGAAAGATTAATGTTGATAAGATATTTGCTTTTTCAATGTCAGTACCGACCAATTCAAATTTAAATTCGAATATTTAATACTATATTGAAAGGAAAAAACCAAATCAGTTAAGTAGAATACGCGAATGTACAAAAAAGTAACTCATATTTTCAAGTTCACGTGCGTCAAAATCATTGATCAAAGGCTACCCTTATTACTGCTTATCTTTCAAATAGTTGAATTTAAAGAACTGATGATCATAACTAACAATTTCACTAATACTATCATAGTCTGAACTGCCATTTTGAGTAATTTGTTTCATTTGACGTTGCGTTACTGATGCTGTTTGTTGTGATCCGGATTGACGTATTTGTGAATTGACGTCTTGTACATAGGATCGAATGGATTCTAAAACTGTGTGGCATAAATATACCTTTTCATCACTCTAGAAAAATTTCACGATATTTTTACAGATTTAAAATCTAAATATCTCAATACTTAAGTCTTAGATTATAATGTTTGTAAAAACAAAGTCAAAAAATTTTAATCCCCATCCAAAGCTAGAAATAATAAAACGTAACTTTACTGAATTGAATATGCATCTAACTGTAAAGAATGAGCAAACAGTGCCTGGTTTTTGCTGTTTGTTTGTTTGTGCAAGCATAGCGAGTTTCCGTTCTCGCGTGATCAACGACTGCTGCTCGTTAAACCATTTTTCGAATTGGTTACGTGGTAATAACTGAACTAATTATACTCATAATTAGTCAAAATACAATCACATATGAAATTATTTTATTTCACCAGTATTTCTATATTCAAATCTCAGCAATATTTTTTGAATTTTGTTAAAAGATAAAGTGTTCTTATTTTAGTTTTAATTCTTTTTGACCACTAATTGAGAATCATCATTCTTGACAAATGACCCCTACTTTTACTTGTTAGATTTTAATTTTTTTCTTGACCTAATTTTTACTCATTTTCATTTTCAATTATATTAACTTTACTTTTCAACCGTAAAATTTATCCTCTAAATTTTACAGCAGTTCTCGGTAATTTTTTGTGACAGTTATTTTGATAAGTATATAAAAGTTAATAATTAGCATAACAAACCATTTTTTGGTACTTTCCACATCATTTACTAAAGTACTTCAAAGTAGTTCAAAGTAATTTGAAGTAATTGTAATTTATTGTCTTATAGTTAGGACAATAAATGAAGCTGTGTTTTGTAGTACAAAAAAACGATTAAATACGTGACCTCTGCAGATGTTTCAGCAATTCCATGCGTATTCGTTGCACGGCAAGTATATTCTCCAACATCATCAGCAAACATTTGTGGTATAATTAATGCACAAATGCCTGTTCGAGCATCGTATTCAATTTTTGTTCTGTAAATAAGCTCAAACTTTTTATCACATTATTTGTTCTCACAAAAATTAAAATTGCTTCGATTACTTTCGAATTGAATATTTCTTCTCTAATTTTATTATCTATTCATTTTATTATTAATAACCAATGCAAACTTTCTTCAAAACTCTCTCACTAAACCAAGAAAATGCAGTTTTTAACACAATAATTCTGATTTATTTGTCATTTAGCTTTTCGAATTTTGATTTTCGATGAATTAAGCACAGATCAGATGATCACATCCTTTTTTTATTTTGAGTTAATTTAGAATAGCAACTTTGAGTTTCAGAATTTTTATCAGTAAATTAGCTGTACATTAATTCAAATAATTTACGAATAGCATCTGCAAATACCGTACCACACAAACGA